TTGGGGTTATGTAAAGTTACCTCATACAATCTCAAGGGAAGCTCAAATGAAAGAACTTTTTAACACAAAACCACCTACAATCGACTCCTTTATTCGATTCACCAATGTCGCGAAGAAATACCGACAAAAACAACCCAAGATGAGCCCCAAATGGTGGTGTTAGGGTTTTGTTGCAAAACCCCCAATTTTCAACCCCAAGCTTCTCTCTCTACAAGTTCCCTTTTCTCTTTACAATAGCTCCCTCACTCACCACACACGTTTCTCTCTTTATCAAAACTCTTTTAATAGCCTCCACTAAAAAGGCATATTTTTAGTGACAAAAATACCCTTTAACAAGAGGGAGAATACCATAAGGCCATAAGGTGTGATCTTTGCATCACATCCTAACAAATACCACGACCCTACCCTTAAAGAACCCAAACCAACCAAGCCTTTAATGTGGGATTTTCTCTTCTCTGTTTATTGAACGGGTTCACCTCCTCTGCAGAATTAGACCCATCCATCATGAATGGATGAACCTCAGTTAGAGCTGGTGTGACGCACCTCTTGTGCCAGCTCCTCAAATCTCATCAGATTATTGAATTCTCTGTATAGGTTTGGATCTACCACCTCAAGCATGACCACCTCACCCTCCTCTAGCTATTGCCATGCAAACTTGCAGCATCTCGGGCCTTTTGGGATTGACATGCTTTTCTACCGTATGATGCAAAATTGAAGAAAGAAATAGTAGACTCAAAAACTTGGATAATTTGATCGAAAATATAAGAGTTGAAGCTTACACACGAAGCTCCTATTGTCCTTTGGTCCATATAAGGAAATGCCTAACAAAAATCCAAAATTTTTAAGCAAAAAGCTTATAATGACTTATATTTACAATCTGAAACTTAGCTTTAATTAGTAGTGTCACCTTTGCCCTTGATAAAATAGTAAGACAAATTCATCCTGATAGAAGAAAAGGCGGGGGGTGGAAAGGATACCCCAATTTCTAGAAGCCATATCTTATTGCTCTGATTCTAGAATGATTATCATGCCCCTTTCTAGAAATGATAGCATGAGCTCTATAACACTAAAATTTAAGAAGCTGATTTAGCCTCTGAAGTCCTAAAGGTAGCTCTTGGATCACTATGTGAAGTCCGCCTACATCACTTTGCATGCTTGGATCACTTGCTCTTGCTCCATTGTTCAGAGATAAATATTGCCTTGAGTTTGTCTTTGTGGGCCAGTATATTATTATATATAAAGCGAGTGGATGACCCTCACGCCAAGTGTCTTTTTTTTGTTTCTTCATTTTGCCCTTCTTATTTGTACATATCTTGTTTTTATCATTAACTATTAATTAAGGAAAAAATTTATACAAGGTTCCAACCTTAAATGTAGAACTACGGATGCACTTCAAAAATCCATCGGAAAAGATTGTTTTAATGTTGAGAAACCCTCTAATTGAGCATCTTCACATCGAGATGTATGATTATGAAAAAAAAAGGATTTTGAGTCTTAGAAATAGTGCATCTTACAACACATTATCTTGACCGTCCATTTTCAAAATTTTCATTCATTTATAGATCTACTTGATTTTAACCATTTTTGAAGTTTAAAATTTTATAATTAGATATGAAATAGATTTTAAGATAATCCTAAGAATATTTTACATCAAAATTATATGTTATGATCAAATTTGAAGGTGCGCCTTAATTGGATTGTTTAAAGATTGCCACCTTATGGAAACCACTCCCATTAATTAATGCTCACAATTACCATCATCACCATTCTCTCTCTCTCTGAATATATTCCCTCACTTCTTTATCTCTCCTACATTAAGGGAATCAAATCTTTATCTCTCCTACATTAAAGGAATGTATAAGCCTCCCTCCCCCTCCCCCACATGCACGCCATCATTCTCCCTCTTTGTCTCAATGTATTATCTCTCTACCCTCTATGTATATTAATTTTTTATATTAAAAAAAATTATTGTTTTTAATGATTTTGATTATGATTATTGTTGTTAGATGTAACTATTATAATATTAAAAATTGCAACTATTTCAATATCATTAACGATATTATTATTGTAATTATAAAGCTATAATGAATATTATTTATTTATATCAGTGTAGAATATTAATTAAATTTATTTATATCAGTGTATAATATTAATTAAAAATACAAAGAAAGAAAACAAAATAATAAGTAATGTAAATGCAAATTATATAGGTGAATAATATAATTGAAATTTATCATCATCATCATTGTCTAGCCTTATCCCAACTATTTGGTCCGCTACATGAATCCTATTCCGCCATTCCGTTCTATCAAGGCCATACTATCAATCAGATCGTAGGTCACTTATCTCTTCCACTACTTCCGTCTAAATCATATAGTTAAAATTATATTTAGAAACATAATTACTTCAAAATTCAAGTTATAAACAGAATTATAAACTTTTTTTGAAGCTTTATGTGATATGTTTTTGTGTTTTGATTTTTTATTCTGCAAAATACTTGATACTTATAAGTGAATTATATATTTACTAAAAATTAATAATTAAAATATGAAAAAATGATTATTATCTAATAGAAGTCCATACGTGAAGATGGATCAATAAAAATCTCTTTCTATAGACTCTCTATGATTGAATATGCCTTTTGATAATTTTATTTTAATATTAGAATTTTATTTTAATAAGTAATATTTAATACACGTGCAATGTAAGTGCATATTACTAGTAGAGCTTAAGAGGCAAATAAGAAGTTGCAAATGTCTTCACCCTTGGCCTCATAAACTCCCTCTTCTCAATGAATTTCCTCATCATGACCAGTATTTGAGTGTGGTTGTACATGGAAGCAATAAGGGTTTTCGTTTCTTTGTTGTTGAAGTAAATAATTTTCAGCTTACTAATGCCTCAAGTACGAGCTTGATACAATGCGTCTTGTATGGAATCCAAAGACGATGTTGCCTCCTCCCTCAATGGTGTGGCAACCAACATTCTAGCTACACATATTTGTAACTACCCAAATGATATATTGTTCATCCACCTGCTTTATACACTTGTCTGCTATGTCTAAAGTGAACTCTGTATTGTGTGTTTTCTCAGATACATCAACGGAAAAGTTTAACAAATCAAAACATAAATTTGAATGCATACAATATGCAACAAATTATACTTTAATCTTGAATGAAGTAAACAAACTACAAACCCACTATTACATAAAGTTACAAAACCAATTCTGAATCTCCAAAAAGGTCATAATGCAACTCAAACCCATACTAGGAAAAATTTACCAAAAGTTCCATAATCAAAATTCAATAGTAAAAGAAATCATAAAATCAAAATCCAAGTATTGTCATAATCACTCAACCAAAATAAAATCATGAGAAAATCCATCCGGAATCCCAAACCTATACTAGAACAAATTTACAAAACCAAAATTTCCAAAAATTGAATTTGAAGGTACAAAAAAGATCACAAAAGTCAAAACTTATTGGAAAAAGTGTCTAAACCAAAACCGAGTGTTGAAAAAAGTGATCAAGAAACCCAAACTAATACTTAAATTTTACAATATCCAAAAGGTGCAAAATAAAAAATCGAAACTATAAAAAAATACAAAAAGCTAAATTGAATATTAAAAAAATAAAATAACTAAAAATGATAAACACATCCAAACTCAAAACCCAACTCCAATACCAATTTGTAGAAAAAGTAAAAGAAAACCAAATCTTGTAAAATATTAATAAACACAAGCCAAAAATAGAAATAAACTAACCCCTCAAAATCTAATCAAAGTTGGCTCGAATTGGGCGACCTTTACCTGCAAAAGCAGCCCCTTTAACCTGTCTTTGATCTCACAATCTCTTATGAAATAATTTGAACCTTTGAAAATCACTTTTTAATCTTGGTTTTTAAATGCGTTTCTCTATCTAAAAACTAAATCAAGGATTTGGGAGGTTAGAAACCTCCCCAAAATGACCATGTTTGGCCCTGCACGAGGGCCTATTTTGGTAGGGGTTGGGGGGTGACTGCCTGCCGGCAAGGCAGGTACCTCAAGTAACCCCATCCTCGGCTCCTATGCTTGCCTAGGCACCTGGGGCCTGCCTCAAGCCTCTAAGGCGGGTGAACTTTTAACCTTGGTAGTTAATACAACTTATGAACCTTGCTCCGAAGAATCAAGATAGTTACGTGACTATAAAGTTTATATACAAACTTATTGTTCTGCTGGAGTCCTTGTGATCAAGGACATATCTTATTGCAAGAATCTCTTGAACAAACTGTGTTCTTATTGCCTCCATGGACTTGAGGCTCTCAACAAGGTGAACCTTGAGGATCCAATTGACAATGACAATCATGTCTTACCTTTGTTTAACTGTGATATTCTCAAATGTTAATAACTTGTAATAAGAAATTTTTTTACAAACCAATGAAAAAGTTGACTTCATTTTTCAATGAAGCCTAGTTTTATTTGAAGGGGTTAAGTATTTGTTTAAAATTATATGAAACAGAAATTTATATAAAATCATAACTATGATTAAAGAACCATTGTGCAAGTAATGTATTTCAATTGCCTAAAACATAAAAGTAGTGTATTGCATGGTCAAAACTGTGCTCTATATCACATGCCTAGGGTTCCTTCCCTTCGAAGAACTTTCTAGTTTTCTACCCTTTTCCTATTTAATTTTTCAATAGAACTTGTCTCTTCTCCTATATTCTTAGTTGTTAGATGGCAAGGCCATAGAATTATTAATGATGGAGTCATCGACAGGTTTCTAGTGCTTTGTCTCAGAGTGTGGACTTTATATTCATGCGAGTGTCTCCTTTCAATGTTTCACAGTTCCATCTTCTTGGGTAAAATAATCTTTTGTTTATAATTATTCTTATACTTGCAAATTTGCCTTGTTTTTCATCATCATCCTCTTGCACCATACCTTGATCATTTTTCAGTTAAAATGTTCCAAAGCTACAATTATCATGTAGTCTTATTTAATTTTTCATCTGAAAATGACTTGTAGTGAGTGTCTTTCCCTGCCTTCAAGTATATAACCTTCACAGGTGCCACTATTTATGGGATCGACCGTATGAATTTGAGCAAGAGAGATTCTTGAGACCCAAGAAAAGTGAAGTCGAAGGGTGGGCAAGGTTTGATCCAAAGCGAAGCCTTGGAGCCTTATACCCAAATGAGGTTAGTTCCCAACTAAAAACCCAACGTTACAGCTGAGATTATGAAGTTCACAAATACCACTGCTTTCCTTGTATTAGAACAGTGATATCTCCGTGTTTTGCATGATGCCACAGATCATCTCAGATTTCGCTTTCCTCCCATTTGGTGGTGGACCACGCAAGTGCCTGGGAGACCAATTTGCCCTCATGGAGTCCACGATTGCACTAGCATTGCTGTTGCACAGGTTTGATGCAGAGCTGAGGTATCCCCCAGAATATATGGAGGCAGTCACTGAGGCCACCATCCATACAAAAGATGGCCTATGGTGCAAGTTAAGGAAAAGGAGGCCTAATGCCGTGAACCGGTAGCTTCTGCTTTTATGTCTATATTATGTAATTCTTTTATGCCATTTCTTTTCGTGTTTTCAAATGGTAAATGGAATGAGAATGTCTGTCTCTCTTGTTTCATTGTCTGTAAGTGATGATGGCTATGTACCTGTATTTAACTTTAGATTCTTAATTGACCTCCTCAATCGTAATGTCTTTATGACGAAAGCACTCGAAGCTTCTAGATCCTTAATTTCTTTCAATCAATGTTCAATAGTTTATCAATTCGGATCAGGAGTCGCTGGTTAGTATGCCAATTCTCGGTTCGTATTGGTGGTTCTTTAATTTCATGTTTAACAGTAGAAAGCTACAATGACTAGGTGGTATTCTTGTTTTTTTGACTGCATGTTGGAGGATCCAACCTATGGGGTAAAACTTTCATTCTTTTAAGATGTTAGACATTAGAAAAGATATGTGCAAAGTCTAAACAAATGTAAAAAAATAAATAAAACAAACAGTTTATTTTATACCACGTGCTTTTTTCCCCATACGGCCGAGGTGTGAAAGTCAAAGGGTGCAGCTTTAATTTATTCTAAATGTTAAATATTAAACTTTTAAGTGTTAAAAAACTGATTACATTGTTGACTTTGAGTTCAAAACCTTGATGTTGTGGCTCCCCTCTCTTGCTGATCCTCTCCCCTTTTCGACAGTGGATCAAAAATAATTAAGATAGAGTTAGCTTAGATTCTCTTCTCTCTTGAAGAAGGTGAAGACTCCACTCGATAGTCTTATTAGATGGAAGACTTGATTCAAATGTGGCTAAGGGAATGAATGGTCCTGAAATGAAAGAATTCTCAAGGAAGGGTTTAGTCAATGTGAGAAGACCTAATGTTAACATTCAAGGAAAGACAACTGCCTAGTCTCTATTCATAGTATTTATCACTGACTTGTCTGGATCCTAGTGGTGTTGATGAAGCCTACACGTGTAGATTGATGACAAAGCAAGGAGAGGAGTTTACTACACATTGGTCGGCCTTGGTTTGTCAATTTGCGAAAACCCTTTATTAAAACCTCAAATTCTTCCCTTTTTTATGTTTCTAAAACAAAAAAGAAAATGTGTGCCGCGCCCCTCTAGAGTGCGTGCATATGTATGCATGAGGGTGACCCGATGGCCATTAAGATAAGGTTTGGGTAGTGCGGTGTGTGTGGTTCGAACCAAGAAAAGAAAGATTTGAGGTAAGGCTTACCTGGTTATAGAGGGGGCGGATGCAACCAGATGACCGTGCCCTCTTAGATCCCAGTGCCTTAGAGTGCACGCGAAAAGTCGCCTTGTCACACGACCTCGCCCTCTGACCCGTATCGTACCAGTCGGAGGGGGACATAGGGCGGGATCGTGACCAAAGGTAGCGAACGTCACTCAGGTGGGAGTGGCTCAATGCGTTTAGAAATACGGAATCAAAGCAAACCACGATAGAAAATAAAAACTCATTCATCAAGCCACATAAAATTGCACAAATTAAAACATTAAGTACATATAAAATCTCCAAAGGTTCTTTACAATTATGTCCAAGACACTACCGGCCGGACATAAACAAGACAGTATACATTAAAACAACATTGTGGCCCAGCCACGTGACACGTACTATCAAAAAGTTCCTTGATCAGTCTCGAGCTTCAGCCGCCTGCCACCACTGTCCAATTGCCCCCTCAAGGATGGTCGGTTAACACTCTACACAAATGGGTAAATGAAAAGAATGCGCTAAACGCCTAGTAAGTAGATAAGTGCCCTTGCATTGCCACCTACATGCATATATATATAATAACATGGTCTACGGTTCAACATAAATCATACCGGCATTACAGAGTAGGATCATGCATCAGATTATATATATTTGTCGTATATAAAGAGAGTAACATGCAGATATCAGAGTATCCATTGTTCTCGAGATGGCGGATACATCTATGCTTATTACAGTCAAAGTCAGATGTTCACATGGAAAGCCTAAGTCAGACAGACAGAACATATCTATTTACTCTCGAAGTAGAAGCCACATCAATCAGGCTAAGCCAATCCTGTATTTGGAACTTCTACCCTCATTCAGGAGGGAGGACAATGATAAATGGAGGTCCCATTTTGTAATGTCCTCACTCACGCACATAATCCCTAACGCGCTTTGAGGTTTTCGATAGGCTGAGGCATTGCAAGACAAGGTCATCTATTTACGCCTTCAGACGAGAGTGCGTTACACTACCATTGGAGGGCCTAATGCATAGTGCCTATAATAATTTAGGGGGCGCGACCCACCCTGTTATTCACAGTCACTCCTCGACTCCACCCTTATTATAGGAGTCAAAGTACAATATACCTGACTACCAATGGGGGACCCATTGCGTAGTGATCATATCACAAATATCAGTTTTCAGTATGGCAGAATCACAAATCCAACTATGAATGGAGGACCCATTGTGTAGTGGTTAGGGCACACATAGCAGTCTCACATATAACAGAATCACAATATCTAGTACCAATGGAGGACCCATTACGAAGCGATCATGACACATATAACAAAATCACATATAACAGAATCACAGTATCCACTACCAATGGAGGACCCGTTGCGTAGCGGTCATGACACACATAACAGAATCACAATATCCATTACCAATGGAGGACCAATTGCGTAGCAGTCATGACACATATAACAGAATCACAGTATCCACTACCAATGGAGGACCCATTGCGTAGCGATCATGACACATATAACAGAATCACAGTATCCACTACAAATGGAGGACCCATTGTGTAGCAGTCATGGCACACATAACATAATCACATATAACAAAATCACAATATCTTATTTTTCTGCAATTTTAGATAGTGACTTCCTATCACATACAAGCCCATAAAGCTCGATCCATTTGGAACCCGGAAATGGTTTCGAAACCAAATGTTCACTAGATACGCGTATCTTTCAAATGGGAGTAGTTTGAAAGTGTTTGGACCCCGTTTGACCCTTCAAAAGCTCATTAGAAAGGAGGCATTCCATTTGTAACCTGCTGTGCAGTTCGGACAGTGACATGTCCCACTTAGCACAGTTATAACATTCAATCCATAAGGCATTTTGAAGTGTTTTCAAAATCAAAATTCGAACAAAACATGTATTTTTCAAACAAGGGTAGTTTGAGAACATTTGGACTCCATTTGGGCATTCAAAAGTTCGTGACAACCAAAGTAATGGTTCTGGATTTTTATGATATCTATCCACAATGACATATCTTCGTAAATAATTGTATAACTCTCAATTTAGGAGGAATTTCGAAATATGTTCAACATGTGATTTCAAGCATACTCATAGATCTTTCAAATGGAATTGATTTAGAAGAAAACAGATTCTTTTTGGTCAGTCAAATTCGTGACAACAGAGACATCAGTTCTAAAATTTTACTAAAATTTCACATTTTGAAGGATAACTCTTCATGCATAAATAATTTGAGCAAGATTCAAACATGAATATTTTAGTAGACACATATATCTTTCCAATGGCAATGATTTAAGGTCATTTGGACCTCATTTGATAAGTCAAAAGTAGATTACAAAAACATAGAACCTTATAAGAAATTACAGTACAGTTGTAGCATTATCCAAAATGACAACCAATTAATCGCAAATTTATGCTACATCTTAACATAAGGCCTTTTTTTTGACCATTAGATACATATAAGAACTTAATCATAGGTTTTCCATAGAAAGCAAGGAATAGTTGATACTCATTTTGGGCATGCAAAGGCAAACTAAAGTGCTGGAAATCATGGTATAACAGTGTACGCAGATATCCACTATTCATGCATCTACTCATGCTCATTCTTATACTTAATTCATGCTAAATCCATGCTTAAGGACCTACAAGATAGTTGACCCACTTACCTTGTCTGTGCAATGGTGTTCCCATATTTCGTCCCACAACTCACTCCTCAAGCTCCTCAATTTGGGCTCCAACAAAGGTTAAAAAAGGGGGTTGCAAATGCTAAGTGCTTGTCTTGTAAGAGTGAGAACACGACGTGAGGGAAAGAGAGAGAGGCTTATGTACTTCAAAAGTGTGAGGTGGCAGCTTGGGGTTTCCATGTAGCTGCAGTTTGAAAGGTGGCTGCTGTGGCAGTATGCAGTAGGCAAGTGGCATCCATGAGTCACGCACAAGCTCGACAGTGTAGCGCACTTTCTCTTTTTCTTCTCTCTTCACCGTCGTGCGCACTTTCTCTTCTTCTTATCTCTTCACCGCTGTGCGCACTCTCTCACCACTGTGCGCACTTTCTCTTCTCCTTCTCTCTTCACCACCGTGTGTACTCTCTCATCGTCGTGCGCACTCTCTCACTACCGTGCGCACTCTCTCACTATCGTGCGCACTTTCTCTTCTTCTTCTCTCTTCACCATCGTGCGTACTCTCTCACTGTCGTGCATACTTTCTCTTCTTCTTCTCTCTTCACCGTCGTGCGCACTCTCTCATCGTTGTGCGCACTCTCTTTCTTCTCTCTTCACTGCCGTGCGCACTCTCTCACTGCCATGCGTACTCTCTCACTGCCGTGCACACTTTCTCTTCTTCTCTCTTCACTGCCGTGCTCACTCTCTCACCGTCGTGCACTCTTTCTCTTCTTCTTCTCTCTTCACTGTCGTGTGCACTCTCTCACCGCCATGCACACTTTCTCTTCTTCTCTCTTCACTGCCGTGCGCACTCTCTCACCGCTGTGCGCACTCTCTTCACTGCCGTGCGCACTCTCTCACTACTGTGCCCACTTTTTCTTCTTCTCTCTTCACCGTCGTGCGCACTTCCTCTTCTTCTCTCTTCACTGTTGTGCACACTCTCTCACCGTCATGCACGCTTTCTCTTCTTCTTCTCTCTTCACCGCTGTGCACACTCTCTCACTGCCTTACGTACTTTCTCTTCTTCTTCTCTCTTCACCGTCGTACGTACTTTCTCTTGCCGGGAAAGTTTGGGTTGTTTCATCATCCCCCTCTTAAATAGGATTTTGTCCTCAAAATCGTGTCTTAGTTAGTCAAACAACCCGGGGTACTTATCCCGAATTTCATCTTCTCGATCGCATGTCGATTCTTAATTTGAGTGATATTGCCATAACACACGGACTTGAGGAATTTCTTTATTACGTAACACTTGCATTCTCCTGTCCATTATTTCAATCGGTCGTTCAATATAAGGCAAGTCTTATCTG